ATGGTCTAGGAAGACCATAACCTATCCTCATATCTGACACTTACAGAGAAGCTAAGAGGCTTCATATGTGGTTCCAAAGTAATACCTGAGGACTTAACTGACATAGACAGCAAAAGGTCAGTTTTAATTTACACAGGTCTCACTTTAACTTGGTCTTAAACACCCAGCAGAAAAGTATAGCCAAAAAACATTAAAAAAAAAAAAAACTATGTCATAGTAATAAGCTAGATATAAAAAGGGATTCCAATTGCTGACCTCTTCTCTGGCAGTTTTCAGCTACACTAGTAGCTGACCACTGTTATGAGTCATTAAGAAAAAATAAAACTGGGGCTGGGGATTTAGCTCAGCGGCATAAGCGCCTGCCTTGCAAGCAGGCAGTCATGAGTTCGATCCCCGGTACCGATAAAAAAGAAAAGACAAAAAAAAATAAAATAAATAAATAAAAAAAAAGAAAAAAGAAAACTACAATAGAATCTATAAAAGTAATAATCTTTAAATTCTTTAGCTAAGATTGTCCTTCGAAACCACTGAACTCTCCATCTTCTTACAGCTAAAACTGAAGAGACATATGACAAAATATCAGACTCCATCAGTGGAGGAGTCTAAGAGCCAGAGGGGTATAATCACTATTCCAGTCCTTTAAGAACATTTCTAGACTTGACTCCCCAACCTGCCTTTCCAATCTAGTACTCTTGTTTTGATTATATATGCTCTAATTTCTTGGAAAATCTGTTTATTATTGTCTAAAACCTGCCAAATTCCAAGTAATCACACAGATGTAATAAACAATAAATGTTTTTACTGCGATTCACAAAATTGACCTTGTAAAGAGAGTTTATAGTTGTTAAATCACAACTTCTATCTGAGCCACATTACATTTGCTTTCTGGAGAAGACACCTAACTGTGGTCTCCCCTACACTGACCCTTCTCAGCTTGAAGCAGGTAGATGAGAACTATATCCTTTCTCCGTCTTCAAAGTGGTGGGATATTGTAAACAGCTAAGTTAGTGATAAATATTACAGACAGTTAGACAGGGCTGGGCCCTCAGCACAGCAGAGAGTTGTGGCCAGAGTCACATTCACTGAAGGTCACGCTTTAGGAAAAAGAGAAATGACTATACCCACATACTTCCCTTAGGGATGAGCAAGCAGCGATGATTGATATTCCACATAGTCGTCAATCACCTTGGGTTGGGAGACCAAAAGTTCCTTGCCCATTCCTTCCTGGAAAATCCTTTTCAATTCTATAAACATTTGCTGCATGATTTGCTTCCCCCTTTGATACCCATTTAATCAATTATTACCTAACTGACGCTACTTGTTGCAATCTTATTGGTTGACCAGAGTTTTGTCCCACCTCCTACCCATGTTGTGACTTCCCATTGGATCAAGATAACCTAAGTGATTATACTTGTAATCTTATTAGTTGACTATAGTTCCGTTCCACCGTGAACCTGCCTCACCTGTGGCTTTGCTTAATAAAACACTTGATTGATAGGGTCGGCAAGCAACCCACTTTCCAGGGCCCCTTCAGCCAGAGGTTATCTTTCTCTCAAAAAATTCTTCCTACTTTTAAACAAACAAATGAAATAAGTTTTTCCAGAGATGTTTTCCTTCTTTCAGTTTTAGTCTGTAACAGTATAACTATATATGATACTTTCTTATTTTTATTTTATATTTTGAGGTTTAAACTCAGGGGAACTTTATCAATGAGACCTTGAGAAAGAGTCTAAGTTCCCCAGGCTGAGTATCTGGAATTATAGGCATGTACCACTATGCCCAGGTCACTTGCCACTTTTATATTGCCTTTTGGGGAAGGACAGGGTCTCACTACCTAGAGGGTGGCCTTGAGCTCATTTATGTAGCTCAGGCTGGCTTTGAACTTGCAGTGATCCTCTTGCCTCAGGCTTTTAAGTGCTCAGATTAAAGGTGTACACCACCACACTTGGCTAAGTGCAATTTTAGCATGCACTTTGGTATGTGTTATTCAAAGGGGAAATTTTCCTGTGTATCAGGGGTCTTTCATATGAATTAGAAATTATCCAGATATGTTTACAAATGGAAAGTGCTCAGGTAAATAAGTATTTGTTGAAGAATGACAGAATGAATGAGCAATAAATAACTAAACAGAATTAAACAGCAAGAAGACTATTTACAGATGGTTCCTGATTATAGCCAATGAGCTGTCCCTATGGGAAGTTAGATAAAGTCTACAGGAGAGCCACGGCTACAGGGGAGTCTGCAGAGGCTTGCATTTCTGAGAGCAGGACCTTGACAAAAATGAAATTCTTTGGGGAGGGATTTGGAAAGAGAAAACAATCTATTTTCAAGTTGTATATGAGATGAGAGGAAATTTTCATTTCATATAACTTGAATAAAGCTGCTAGCTAAGACCAAATATTTATTAATTACTATTCTTGTCATTAAAATCCTATAGAGTCTGTGTTATTGGAAATAAGAAACAGCCCAGGTAGAAAGTAGTACTTGGAGTAATTTTGTTTTCCAGCATGAGTCACAGAGACAGATCATCTAGCCAAACTGGACCCGAACCATAATGACAGCATTAGTGATCCAGGATGGCTGTCTACTACCAAAAGCCTTGGTTCCTCAAAGACTTAACTAAGCTCAATATCAGTCTTACATTTGTTATGTCAGTAAGCTAAATCTCCAACCCCTGATATATTGCATCTATCTATCTATCTATCTATCTATCTATCTATCTATCTATCTATCTATCTATCAAGCTAGCTAGGTAGCTATTTATCTATATATTGAGACAGGCTCTTGTTGTGTAGTTCAGGCTGGTCTTGAGTTCATTATGTAGCCCAGGCTAGCTCAAACTTACAGTGACCCTCTTGCCTCAGCATTCCGAGTGCTGGGATTACAGGTGTGCACTACCAAGCCAGGCTTCTATTGCATTTTCATCTTAGATATAAATTATCAATGCTAATAATGGCCACTGATATATAAGGCTTACTAAAAAGTAGCCAAAAATGCAAAACACATTATCAAATCCTCATCTGGTGGAAAAGTCTTTTACAGTGAGAACAAACAAATTTCTAATATACACTTTGGGATATTTCTTATTACTAGTTCATTAATGAAAGTTTTGTGATTTTTGGTTTTCACTTACTCTAGCAAAAAAAAAAAAAAGTCTTTTCATGGCAGAGATGTGTGCTTGATACCATCACAGCAAATCGTGTTTTGTTTTTCTCAGGATTACAAGCATTGCTTAAAAGACATGTGAATTTAAAATCAGTACTACTCCAAAGGAAAAAGTCCTCAGAAAAGAAAAAGTCATCAGAATGACATGGTTTTGAAGAAATGATTGTTTTAATTAATGTGGTCAGTATTCTTTTCTCTGGGCATTTCCATGAATTCCAGAAACTTCTATGCTTATGCAAAGACCTATGCATGAATGTTCATAGCAGCTTAGTTTGCAATAGCTTAAAACTGGAAATAGTGGGGCTGGGGATTTAGCTCAGCAGCATAAGTGCCTGCCTTGCAAGCAGGCAGTCGTGAGTTCGATCCCTGGTACCGATAAAAAACGAAAAAGACAAAACAACAACAACAACAAAACTGGAAATAGCTCCATATCCTTCAATGAGTGAATGTTTAAACTGCGGGGCTATGCAATGATTCAGAAGCAAAGAGGAATAAACCATGGGTATGTAACAGCTTGGAATAAACTACAGTAAATTACGCTAAGTAGAAAAAAGCCAATCCCAATCACATATTGTACGATTTCATTTATATGAGATTCTTGCACTGTCAAGATGAAAAATAGGTTAAGATGGGCTGGGGATTTAGCTCAGTGGCATAAGTGCCTGCCTTGCAAGCAGGCAGTCATGAGTTCGATCCCCAGTATCGATTAAAAAAAAAAAATAGGTTAAGAACTGGGATTGGGTAGTGGTGGATATGATCACAAAGGAATAAGTCGGATTGAAATATACACATACACATGCTGTGTGTACAAACAAGTGCTTGTGTAACTGATCAAATCTGAGTACTTTGTGATCGTTATCACTGTCAGTTTTCTGGTTTTATTACTCTACTATAAATATTTAAGAAATCTCCACTGATGGAAGGTGCCGGGTGCTTGGGCTGAGCTGTATTGCCTCTCAGGAACTGTGGTGGATTAGCTGCAGTTAATGTGGTAAATTAATGGTCGACTTGTAACACCCGGCTGAGCTGAATCAGCATGGTGCTGGGTGTGGAAGGCCCACCTGCAGATTGTTGCCAACAACATCAAAGCAGAGCGTGTGGAGACTGTGGTGTGCTTTTGATTCTCTAGAAGCTTGTTACCCTGGCTTTCCTGATATGAGCTGCACTGTTCTCGTTGTCAGAGAAGCTCGGCTCACTGATGGCTGCGGTGCTTTTGTGGGGAGCTTTGGTCCTTAAGTCGTTGAGCAGCATCGTTTCCTGGCTCCAGGGCAGTTCCCTCAGCCTGCTGCCACAGATTCTTCATCCTGCTTTTCTAGCTGTTTAGCTTCCACCGCTGACCTCTGGGCCTTCCCAGTGTAGATCCCTGATACAGACTTGCATGAGACACTGTTGTGGACTCCAGGCCTCCGGCTGGACTCGTGGAGGACATTGTCATGGGCTCTAGGTCTTCAGCTGAACTCGCACAGGATACTGCTGTGGAATCCAAACCCTCAGTTCGATTCTTTGGGTCTCTAGTGTGTGGACCGATCTCTTGCAGTTTTCTACATTTGACTTTTTGGGTGAATATTATAAAATAATCCTATAAATTATGTGTTCTCTATTAAGTCTATTCCCTTGCAAATCCTGACTGCAATAGGAATTTTTTGTAAATCTATAATTTTTTTCAAAATAAATTTTAAAGTAGACAGAATAGCATAAGTAACCCACATATACCCATCACCTCCCTTTACAAAACTGTCAATTTGTGAACAATCTTATTCATTTGTACCTCTCGTCCAAACTAATCTCCCATATTGTTTTGAATTCCCAGGTTTCAATAATTTTATTCATAAATATTTCAGTATAAGTAAGACTTTTTTATTATTAAATATAACATAACTATTCAGGAGGCTGAGGCAGGAGGATCATTGCAAGTTCAAGACCAGCCTAGGCTACAAAGTAAGTTCAAGGCCAGCCTGAACTGCATAGCAAGACCCTGTCTCAAAAAAAAAAAAAACTAGAAATTCCATTTGTGGCAGCTATTCCTCTTCTAGGCGGGCAGTGTCTTCCCTTTATTGCACTGACAAATGCACACCTAATTTATAGCAGTCGAATTCTTAACAGCTAACATTGGAAGCCATCTATATGTCCACTGACAAATTACTGGATCAACAAAATGTGGTATTTATACACAAGGTTGTGCTGCTTTGCCATAAAGGATAATAAATGGTGCACCCTGAGACCATAATGTGAAGTGAAATAAATCAAACACACAAGCTTAAATAATGTTGTTTCTCTTACATGTGAAATCCAAATTATAAGTAAAGAGCAAAATCAAATATAGATAATAGGAAGTAGGGAGATAGATTTTGTTCAAATGGGGGAGCAAGAGATGGAGGGGGAGAAGGAAAGGGGAAGGGTTGAAAAAAAGAACTGAAATGTGTTATGTACATGTGCCAACTTCCCCCAAGGAATAGAAATATTATGTAACACAAACATGTATTAATAAAAAATAAAAGACTATAATTCTGTGAGTAGTTTTAGTGTGGAAGATATCTAATTCCTAGACATTTTGTGGTCATTGCTTCCCCTCATTAATTTATACAATTATTTATTTCCCTTTCCAGGTTTTTTCTTAGCATCCTTCTTTCCTTTCTTATCTTTTGGAGAGGTCTTTCCTTTCTTTCTTGCTTTTTGTAGTTCTTCAAATCTTCCGAATCCTTTCCGTACCATGATTCCACGCCACCATGCCTGAATCTGAAAACAAAATAAACCCAGACTCAGCGTCTCTGGTATTCCGACTGTTGTGGTTTGACATGGTTTGTTCCCTCCGAAACTCCTGTTGAAACTCGATTCCCAATGTGGTGGTGTTGAGTAGGGATGGAAACTTCACCAGTGCTGGGGCCATGAGGGTTAACGCTGCTCTCACGGCAGTGGGTTGTTCTCTCAGGAGAGCATTCTTGCTCTCTTGGGCCTAGATTACTTCTAGCAAAAGCCAGCTGATATAAAGTAAGGCCCTTTGGTCTCTCTTTTTTCACTTGTTCATTTGCCCTTTTGTCTTCCACCATATCACAACAGCCTTTGCCAGACAACAGTGCTGAGTTCTTAGATCATCCAGCCTTGAGCATCATGGACCAAAGTAAACCTTTATTTTCTGAGGGACTCAGTTTCAGATATTGTTATAGTAACAGAAAACAAATTAAAGCAATGATAGGCTAGATGGTTATTTTTTTTTTTTTCTAGTGTGGTGTCTTAAAGATGTAGAGAATGGGATGTGGCTACAACTCCAAACTCTTTCTCAATCAGCCACCTTGGGGCCCTCCTAAAACCAGCCTCCCACGTGTTCCCTGGATTCTGTTCCCTCCCTTTGCTTTGGAAGCCCTCTCCTCTAGTAGTAGACTCTACTGAGAACTTCCCAGTGGCCTCCTATTCCACTCAGAATTAAAGCTGAGGTCCTTCCAGTGAATGAAGCTCTATCAGATCCACTCTTCCTGCTGACCTTTTGGACCCCTTAACTACTCTCCGCGTCGAGCACCCGGCTGCAGCCACGTGGTCTTCTTCCGGTTCAGCTACACTGGGATCACTCCTGACTCTGAGCCTTTCCATCCTGCTTCCTCTGCCTCAGACCCTCCTTGCAGTACTGAGAGAGCTCACCCTTCCCAGTGTATGCTCTGTGTTCTGAATTGTTCCTCCCTGCTTCGAATGCTGAAGCCCTAAGCTCCAGTGCGGTGGTATCTGGAGATCTGGCCTTGGGGGGATAACTAGGCTTAGGTGAGGTCAGGAAGTGGGGGCCCTGAGGATATGATTATTCCCCTCATGAGAGACACTGGAGAACTTGTTCCCTCCCACACCCACAAGGACATAGTGAGAAGGCAATTAGCCCAAATCCAGGGCAGAGGCCCTCACCAGAAGAATGTGACCAAGCTGCAGCCCTGATCTCAACCCCCCAGCCTCCAGAACTGTAAAAAATGAATGTCTGTTCTTTAGGTCGCACATTCTATGGCACTTGTTTACGGCAGGCCAAGCTGACCAAGAGTCATCTTTGCAGAGAGACCTACCCTGGCCATCTCATGTGGATGGGCACCTTCCCTGCCCACTGACAATCTCAGATCCGTTTAGCTGGACTCTTTGTTCCCCAGTGACAATCACTTTGTAACACTGTGCAATTTTATGTTTTGATATTCATGTTTTTATTTTCCTCCCACTAGATTTTAAGCAACATGGAGAAATACTTGTTTTTGTTTTTGTTTTTTTCACTAATATCTCCAGTGCCTGGGTTATAGCCAAAACTCAATAATAACTCAATGCATTCGATATTTGTTGATTAAATGGTAAGGGGTCGCTGTCTTACATAAGGTAGGTAGAAGAAGGGCTCTCTGGTTAAGAGGAGGTTTGAGCAGAGATAGAGCCAGGCGAGGGCCAGAGCCTTGCCTGTATCTGAGGGCAGCACCTCTGGCAGAGGGAAGGTTCTGAGGCAGGGCGGGAAGGTTCTGCACGTGAAAGAACACCTAGGATCAGTTTCATGACTAAAGCAAGAAAGGGAAAGAGGAGACCGGAAAACGGAGCAGAGATTCCTGATTCTTCAGGGAGCAATGCCCTCTAGCGGCGTTTTGGAAATGTACAGATTTTTTTGTGGTCTTTGGTGTGTGAGGAATGTCCTCACCCCAAACCCCTTCTGAAGGTGTGCGGGACAACACAGTTGGAAGTTTGAAGGCGATCCGTTTCCTCAGCTCCGGAGTCCACTTGCCCCTCCCTAAGATCCAACTTTGCAATCGGCCCTCTGACATTTACACAGGACAGACAAACCTCGCCACCCTCCCCCGAAGTCTTACTCTGGTGCTTTGCTCTGGACTCAGAAATACTCTGCAACACCAAGAAAAGTAACGATTCAAATGTTGACGTTGATGTTGGGAAAACTAACAATTCAAAACTGAGCCCGGGCATCTCGTGGGATCAGTGGCCTAGGGTTGAACTGCAAAGCACTCAGCACTGTGATCCTAGTTCGTGGTCTCTAGACTTTTGATCTACAAACGTTTTCATTTCTAATTTTTAACCTTCTCTTATGCTTTTGTTAAGAGAAGCTTTTTCACACTAGTGAAATAGTCCAAGTATTTTAGATTGTTTTAGAATTTGAAGGTTTGGTTTCTTTTGCTTGTTTTTGGTTTCTTATTGACAAAGAGGTAAGATACATAAAGGATAAAATCCTAGGGTCAAAATTAAAAATTCCCTCCCTGACCCCTGGGGTTGGAAGAGTAAATGTCCCCTGGGGAAGGACAAGCTTCAGGTGTGTAGAAAGCTATGAAAAGCCACCTGGGAGAAGAATCCAACGGGATTAAAACGAGGCCAGCTCCAAGCAGCTGTGAATATTAACAGGACGCGGCCACTTCACCTTTGTTGCCTTTATTCTCTGGTTTCGGCTCTCCCTCAGGTATCTCCACATGGCCTCGTTGCCCTGGGCGCATACTTCTATTGGGGGCGCCTTCATGGGGTTATTCATCAGAGTCAGAACCTTAAGATTCTCTAGGCTGTCCAAATTCTCTGGAAGACAGGTGAGCAAGTTGTCCTCCAGCAGCAGCTCTCTCAAACCTGGAAGAATTTTTGTTTCAAACGGTGATTTTCTCTTAGAAACAAGCAATGCTAACTTGGCACCCAGCCCGGTCTAGCTGTGTGAGGGACCCGCCTCTGCATTTATAATAGGAGTGACAGAACATGTGCACAAGAAATGGAAGAGCTCTTTCTACCAGCTAATAAAATACCTGTCTCTATGGCTGTTCTTCCTCATAATAAACAGAATAGTAATTCATATTCAAATAGACTTATGGCAGCAGTGGCAAACTCACATGAAAACTGGCAAACGTTACTCTCAGACTGTCCCTAAGGTCAGCACTGTACTGGAAAAACTGACTCTGGAAGGCTTTGGATGGAACACTGTGGTTGCCTGTGGGATTTGCCTCTCCCCATTATTACTGCAGCCCAGAGACATCAATGTGACCTCCTGATCACCACAGATAGTGGAATGAGTGGCACCTGCCTCACATAGTCCTACTTCTATCAAGTGAATAACAAATTACTTTTGAAAAAAAAGGCCCAGCCTAATATAAGTAGAAATGTATACCTTCCAAAACAGCAAGAAAGTATAAAAATAATTCTCCCTTTCTCACCAGCCTTTCCACATCTAATCATCACAAAGGAGCACGATTAGGTTCCAGTGAGAACTTACAAAGGCTGTCTAGGCACATGGAGGTCTAGAGATACTGTACATAAAACTGCATAAATCAAAGTGGTAAAGCCAGGCATGGTGGTGTACACCAGTAACCCCAGCACTCCGGAGACAGAGGCAGAGGCTCAAGGCCAGCCCAGACACATAGTGAGACCCTATTACAACCCACCCCCCAATTCAAAGTGTTATCATATAGAATGGTCTGAGTCTATAGTGTTAGCATAAGGAACTATCTTAAGTAATGCACTGAAAGAGAAATAAAAATGGCTTGTAAATGTCAAAAACATACTCAACATTATCCGAAGAAAAAACAAATTAAACACTGAAATGCACTGTCTCATCACTCAAGGAGATAGAGATGCAGGCTGGTAATATCCAGTATTAAAGAAGGAGGAAAACAAAATGATATTCAGTGAATAAATGGCTTACAAACTCAGCCACTTCCCATGTTTGATTGACGAAAAGATAAAATAAATACCAGATATTTTGTCTTGAGACTGAATGTTTGGGTAGCATAATTCAAATTATCTGCATTTTTCAAAAGCAGCTGGGTGTGGTGGTGTACACCTGTAATACCAGCACTGTGGAAGTCTGAAGCAAGAGAATCACTAATTTGAGCCCACCTGGCCAATTTAGCAACTCAGCAAGACGCTATCTCAAAATAAAAAGTAGAAAAGGCTTGGCGATGTAGCTCAGCATGAGAACTCTGACTCAATCCCCAGTACTGCAAAACAACAGGCAAGATGAAAACATGCATTCTGTAGTCCAACTCTTTTGAAATCTTTGTCGCTTGCCATACCATGTAACGAGACATCTGAGGCAAATGAGGTTCTCTTCTTTATGACAGCTCAAAAGTGTGGGGTATTTGTAGATACATCTCCAGCAAGAGGAAGCCAAAATGTATTTTTTCAAAGTTCTAAAACAATTACTTCATGAGTTTTTAAATGTGTGTATTGTTATTGGGTATATTGATGTCTTTTTGCTCTGAATAATTTCTTCTTGTTCATTATCAAAGACCGTATCATTTTTATTTTTAATAAAGATGCCTTCCTTTTCCTTACAAACTCAGTCAAGTTGCTGGTGATAGTTTAAATATTAGGAAAATGGTCAATAGAGAAAAATGTTGAGACTGTTTCATTCCTGAGGCACCACAGACAGGATAAGAACGTGGTCAGGAGCGTGGCTCAGGATAACTGCACCCCACTTCTGCACTCAGTTTTTAAATATCTTGCATGTAGCTGACAACCCCTACTCTTGTATTTCTTCATCTCCTTTCATTAAAGAGTAGTCACAGTTGAAGACATGGCAAGCCTGGAGAATCAGCACACTATGGAAAAAACTTACTTGGTGCTCAGCAAAGCTTGTTACATGGGATGGATGGATGGATGGATGGATGGATGGGTGGATGGGTTGATAGACATAGATATGAGTGATTTTGCTTAGTGAAAAATGCTTGGATATTTCAGTAGAAATCACATATGATTTCCAGGTCAATCACATAGCTCCTTAAGTCCCCCTTGTGATTTCACCACTCCATAGCAATACTTTTCCTTTAATTCTAGTGACCTAAATGAGAATTTACTGTGGACAACTCCTCCAAATTCTGGCATATATTAGCAATATATATTTAGCACACAGTTGCTGCTGATGGTTGTAATGCAAGTTTGAATGTATGCAACTGTGTTAGCAGTTGCTATTTACTTCTCTTTTCAACTCAAATTATGGTGTATCTTTGCCAGACTCTTTGCTTTACTGATCAGGGCGCCTCACCTCCTTCAGCTCACCAGTGGGCCCTAACCAGTGGGATGGGACAAGGCTCAGCTCTCCAAATATTGAGAAAGGTCCTTAACGAGGCAAGGAATCCACTCATCGTGGAAATTGGCCTCAAATTATACTAGGTTATAAATCTATCAACTTTCTCACCTTGTGCTTGGCAAATTTCATCTGGGAGTTGCTTCAGCAAATTGTGCCGGCAATCAAGAACCTCCAGTTTAGGCATGGACCCTAAGGATACAGGCAGGTACTCCAGAGAGTTATTCTCTATATATAGCTCTTTAAGATTCTGAAATAACAGGACAGTATACCATAATAATTCTTATCTTGATAAAGGAATTATAATAACTAAAGTCAATGAGCAAATCACACACTGATATAGAAGAAAAAATATTTGAGGAATCCGAATCAAGGATTATATTTTAATAAAGTAATTAGACTTGATTTCCATTTATTTGGTGAAAATCAGAACTTTGTTCTAGTAGAACTTTTGAGGAAATAATTTGGGTTACTTAACTGTATGTACCATTTGCTTCCTTTTAACAGCTGGTTATCTGTGTGGCAGTTGCCACAGAACTATAATGGCTTCAGCTATTAGGCCAGCATCATATGTAACCCAACATCATATCTAAGAAGAAGTAGCCAAAATACACAGATGATAGTTAAAATTTAACTAATTGGCAAAAGTTTAATGTTTGCATTTCACCGTAGGATTGTGGCATGACGTGTACAAGGAACAAGAGAATGAAAGGCGTGCTGTGGACACAGGGGCAAGGGACAGAGAATTAAAAGTAAGATCTAATGTCAGTGTTGGGAATTACCTGTGTCGTCTACGCCATTGCTCGGTTCTGTAACTGGGAGTTGTGTAGTAGCCCACATGTACTTAATCATTATCACGGGCACCATAACAGGACCAGGAATAAATGGACAGTTCTCTAAATGATACATGTACGGATGCTACATATTAGTAGGGCTTTGTTGAATGTCGTCATCTTGTTGCTTTGCCACAGTTCAGCACAGCACTATGGCTCAATCATCAGCATGAAGCTGGTCCAACATGACGTGCCCACCCTCAAGCAGGGAGGGAGGTCACTGTGACCATTAGAGGGCATCGTGGGCTGAGTATGCAGGCTCCTAACCATGTTACCCATGTAATACTTTAATTTCCATATAGTATAGTTTTTCCAGGGCTACTTATGAAAAATGGAAACTAGTAGGAGGCGAGACTCAGTTTCTACACATAAAACATGCCAAAAACAAACAGTGGAAAAAAGTATTGCATGACATATCCAACAGCAGTCATCACTAGATAGGTGGCTACTTGGGAGGATGAGGCAGGAGGATCATGAGTTTAAACTAAGCCTAGACAAATTAATAGGATCCTATCAAAGGACTGGCGACTTATTTTTAAAAAAAAAGGAGTGGGAATACAACTCAAAGGTAGAGCACTTGCCTACCATCCTAGTGTGTAGTAGGTCCTGGGCTCAGGCTGGGTGTGGTGGCACATGCCTCTAATCCTAGCACTTGGGAGGTTGAGGCAGGAGGACTGCTGTGAGTTCAAGGCCAACCTGGGCTACAAAATGAGTTCAAACCCAGTCTGGACTGCATATCAAGACCCTGCCTCAACAAAACAAAACAAAACAAAAATTACTAAATAAGGTCCTGGGCTCAAGCGCCAGTACTCCAAACTGACAGACAAACCTATAGCCATCATAATAATGTCTTGTGAGGTTGTTCAGTGACAGTGGAAGCTTCAAGATGTACAAATGGCCGCTTGTTTGTAACTGAAACCCTCGTGTGGACGGTTTCACACCCAGCCTGGAGGACACATCGTGCTCTCTCAGCGTCGGCCCGGTTAAGAGGCCAGCGGCACGTGCCTTGTGGGCGAGGCTTACCTGCAGTTTTCCAATCTGCTCTGGAAGGCGGGAAAGCTTCGATCCTTGGTCTTGCCCAATGTATAATTTCTCCAGAGATGCTAAAGAAAACACTTCTTCTGGGAAAGAAAGGAACTGGTTTCCTGTTAGGCCAAGTATCTTCAGTTTTGAAAGCAAGCCCAATTCTGAAGGTAACTGGAAGTATTCCAAAAGATAAGTTTCAGGCTGATTAATGGTCAGAAAGTAACATTGGGTTCTTGGTGTAGAGGCAGATGTCTAAGCAAGAGGAGAGCAATGTGTTCTCCTACTGACAAAAGCTCGCACATAAGTTAGTAGACATGGACTGGTGGCACTTTCCCCTGCCACTGCTCCTACTCCCAGCACTACTTTAGATTGGAGCTACTTCTGACTTCCCTTATTAGGAACTATCACATAGCAAATGTTTGATACTACTGAAAAAGGACTAAAGTTGTCGTACACTGTAATAATAACAGTCATAATAAATCAGATTCACACTTCACCCTAGAAGGCTCTAACTCAGTAAGTTTGAAATCTTAGCTGGGAGCAACATATGTCCAGGTTATTTCTAATTGGAGCACTTAAGGAAGACAGTTATGATTCCATTTGTCATATATTGCCTTCCAGTGATATCCAGGATTGAGCGCCTTATGTGAATTCTGGGCTGGCATTTCACAGACTGCCAGACTTCAGGCATTGGATGGTCTTGAGCAAGTCCCATATCCCAACCCTCTACTACAGGGGTTCAGTCTGTTCTGTACAAACTATCTGATCCTCCATTATTCAACATCTCCTGGAAGGAAAAGCTTGTTAGCTTCCACGAATCCCTTTGATCATGAGATTTCCTCTTTTGTCAAATCATAATCTGTTGCTTTTATATTCCACCAGTTGGTCTCTTTCTGGCCTCTCAAATCACATGGGGGAAAAAATCTCATTCTTCATGTATAAAATATAATCATCCTATGAGTTAGGTAACAGAGTTGCATTATTTCGTTAGAAGAAAAAGCCTACTTATATATTGCAAAAGCTTAACTCATGCATTTCTTTATTTGGTTTTATTTTTAACCAGGAAATCCTTCTTCATAGATTCCTGCTGTAGCCTTTTGGAATCCCCTCACCCTCCAATTTACTTTCCATCCTGGTTAGACCTCAGCTCATCTCAGCTGCCCCTCCTTACATCTCTCCATACCTGGATCAAAGAGTCATTGGATCATTGGTCACTTGGAGGCAAAAACAATATTGTATCAATAAACATTTCACATATTTGGAATTTTCCCTGCTTTTGTGTAAGGGGAGGGCTCATTTTCCTTAAAATGTAACAGTATGTTTTCAGTTTTGTTTACACAAAACCATAGCCATTAAACTCCAGAGGAAATGTTTAAGCTCTTTGCCTTAGCTATTTCAAAATTCTTCTCTTTCTCTCTGTCTCTTGTCTTTTTTTTTTTTCTTTTATGAGACAGAGTCTCACTACGTAGTTCAGGCTTGCCCTGAACTCAGTATAGATCCAAGGCTGGCCTTGAACTCACAGTGATCCTCTGGTCTCAGGCCCCAAATGCTGGGATTATAGGTGTGTGCCACCACACTCACTGTCAAAATTCCTTACCAGACACTGTGGTCCCATCAATGCTATATAAAAAACATCTATATTCAGTGAGACCAAAACAATGGGGAAAGATTTTAAATCTAGTTACCTTATTATTGCTGTTTACTTAATTCACAGATTTAGCTTTTCTTTCTTCAAAATATATTTGAATGCCCAAAGGTATTTTTTAGGATATTTAAGACCCATATTTAGTTTCCTTATAGTCATGTCAAAGTATAATATAAGTAAATCTAGACATACAGAAAATCTGCAGAGCATCAGTTAAGGACAATTATTGCTACCTCTATAAACCGAGCTTATTGTGGCTTCATGTGCTCATAGGTGAGGCTTTGGGAGGGTGATTGGCTCATCGGGGGGGTCACACTCATGAGTGGATCAGTCCACTGGTGAGTTGACAGCTAAAGGTGAGGTTGGGAGGTGAAGCCTGGTTGGAGGAAGTGGGTCACTGGGGGTGTGGCCTGGACGGTTCTGTCTCCCTCTTTCCTCCCTTGATTTTTCTGCTACTGCCAATCCATGAATATAATTTTCCTTTACCATGCAGCCCTGCGTTGGAGTCAGCTGGGACTGAAATCTCTACAAAGTGTGAACCAAAATTGATCTTTCCACCTTTAAGTTGTGGGTGTTGGGGACTATGTTTCAGCAATTAGAAAGTAAGGCAGATCTATAACGCTTTTGAGGTTGAATATACTTCTTTGGTTGTCTCCTTTAATAGAAATGTACTCTATAAATAAAATCCATCTCAGTACACAATGGAGTTAGTTTTGCATCCAGCTAGGCAAGGAAAAGTTATTATCCAGGTCTGAAGAGCCAAAAACTTACCAGTTGTGTCTTTGAGGTAGGAGAGGTAAGGAGATAGTTTAATGATCATTGTTAGAAGAAGAGAAGTGCTGTGGGATTACAGGAAGAATTAGCGTAAGAGGAAACTGAGAAGGGAAGAAAAAACCTACTCGCAAAACCATCAGAGTAAGTCAAGAATAAAAGCAATGGTATATATACATTATCATGTTCACTTGGTATGGCAGCACAGACCTATAATCCTAGCACTTGGGAGGCTGAAGCAGGAGGATCATTGCAAGCTTGCAACCAGCCTGGGCCACAAAGTAAGTTCAAAGCCAGCCTGAACTGCATAGTGAGGACTTGTCTCAAAAGGACAAAAAAAAAAAATCACATTCATTATAAAAAATATTTAACATTTTCAACCCCAGTGTGATTTAACTTGTGGGTAAAAACTGGAATTCGATCTTACAAAATTTCCTTCAGGAAAGGATTAGGTGTAATTCATGGTTTGTCTAGAGTTAGGTCAATGTGTTAACTTTCCCAATTGTACTTTATATCTGAGTTGATTTCAACTATGGAATGGAAGGCTTTGTCCACTGCAGGCATTTCTTACAGCAGGGGTGAAGTGGAGTAAGAATGAGCTTTCATGAAACCTGGGAAATCCTCCAGAGGTTGCTACCTCAGTAGAAATTAAGTCCTAGTTCCTTTTCTAAATTTTCAAGTTACCCATAAAAAATTTTATTTCCTGAAAGATGGTTTTAAAGCCCCATAGCAATTAGGAAGAAATGAAAAACTTCTAGAAATTATAAATCAAATAAAACCTGTTTAAAATATAAACTTTTACAGCCTAGAATTGTATAATGCATCATAGTGCATATTTATTATTGTATATACATATTATGTATTATACTATGTGTATTACATGCATTACTATGTGTTATAGTATATATATATAATATATATAAATAAATTTTACAATGTATAGAATATGAGACTGGTATTTAAGGCCAGGGAAAGCATAGTATTATCTGGTTATAGTTGCCAATTTCCAGAGCTCCCCTTTTTTTTTCAGGGGACAACAATGGTACCTACATGATCACTGTCATCCCCAAATTTTTCACCCAGAGCACAAAACATCTGCATTCAATTGTTCAAACAATACCAGCACAGATCTTTCTCTTCAGCATATCTCACTTTTCTCCCTCTACAGTTGTCCTTTGCTTTGAATAGCAACTCTATTCTTTTTAATTTTCAAATACTAAAAAAATAATCAAGAAACAAGCTGGGTATGACTTGGAAGGTTGAGGTAGGAAGATCATGAGTCTGAAGCCAACCTGAGCCTCACAGTAAGACCCTATTGCAAACCATCCCACATTGTGTAAATGTTTTAATACATAAAATAAATATTACAATTAAAATCCTCTATGATCCTTTACCTATTTCCCCACTGTACTGACTTTGTGTGTGTGTGTGTGTGTGTGTGTGTGTGTGTGTGCCTGGGATCAAACTCACCACCTCATGCTTGGCAGGCAGGCAAGGCACTTATGCCATGGAGCTATATCCCCAGCCCTGTATTGAGCTTCTTCTTCCCAGAGGCATTCAGCCACCATCAGGAATTTGGTGAATTTTCTACCAATTCATATTCTTACACTTCAATTATATATGAATAACCATAAAATATATTATGTGCATGTATTTACTTATATATGTTGTTTTGTGTGATTTAAAAATAAATGGCTTGGGGGCTGGGGATTTAGCTCAGCGGCATAAGCACCTGCCTTGCAAGCAGGCGGTCGTGAGTTCGATCCCTGGTACCGATAAAAAGTTAAAAAAAAAAAATAAAAAAAATAAATGGCTTAATAAGATTCTTCAATCTGGTGTTTTTTCTTCTTAAGAAACATCACAGCCAGGCATGGTAGCTCACTCCTATAATCCCAGTACTCGGGAGGCTGAGGCAGGAGGATTGTTGTGAGTTTAAGACCAGCCTGTGCTACCAAGTGAGCTCAAAGCAAGCCTGAACTGCATAGTAAAACCCTGTCTCAAAAAGACTAAAAAAAAAAAAAATCACAATTTGGAAATCTATCCAGTACTGGCACAAATAGTTCCAGCGCACTTAAATTACTGAGGAGCAGCCCCTTTTATGAATATAACATGGTCAATTTGCCCACTTTGCTTCTGACTTTGTCTTCCATATTCCATGATTATCAGCAACACTGCAATGACCAGGTTGGAAACACAAGCCTGCACACGTGTGGACAGCGCTACCAGGAAGAAATCTGATTTTGAAGAATCTCATGGATGGAACATCAAGGCCTAAAGCACATGTGTCAGGAAAACCTGCTATAAAGGAACCTTTACCAGGAGGTGATCATGGTTAAGAATATTGACTGGGATGCTCGGTAGGTCTGGGTTGGAATCCTAGCTTTATTGCTTATGGCCATGTGGCCTGGGACACTTAGTTCAGCTCCCTGCCCACCAGTATCATCATATATCATTGAGGACAAAACCCAAAAAACACTATGAGAGTTAAATGAGATAATCCACACCGACATTTAACTCAGTGACAGGCACATACATGCCCTAAAAGCCTAACCATTAGTTATTAGGTCTAATTACTACTACTATTTAGGAGGAAAGAAAGAAAGGTAGACTTTAAATGGACACCTTGTACACACTGAAACCCTGGCTTTTTGCCTATAAAGTCTGTTCAAATTCCTGTTTTGTGCTAACGAGGATCAAACCCAGGGTACGCTCCATTACAGAGCTAAGCCTTAGCGCCCCTCCTTTTAAAACTGTTTTATTTTGAGACCCTAGGAATTCACTAAAACATCCAGGTGGGACTCGAGTTGTGATTCTCTTGCCTCAGTTTCCCCAAATGCTGGGATTACAGGCTTGACTTATTGTCTTGTTTGGAGAGAATTAGACCCATCTAGGGTAGGAAAGATCTCGGAATCCCAGCAGAGGGACAGTGGGGGCGCGAGGGGCGTACCTGCCCTATGTTATTGTCGTCCAGCGCCAGGGCCTCCAGGTCCTTCAGCGCGCAGATCTGCGGGGGGAAGCGGTCCAGCTGGTTCTGGCCGAGGTCCAGGAAGCGCAGCTGGAGCAGCCGCCCGAAGGAGCGCCGCAGCCCCCGCAGGCCGGCGTCGCGCAGGTAGAGCAGGTGCAGGGCGGGCCACCTGCAGACCAGGCGGGGCACTTTCCCCAGGCAGTTCCCACTCAGCCCGAGTTCCGTCATCCGCGGGAGCTCGCCGGGGGCGCACGGCAAGGAGTCCAGGAGGTTGTGGGACACTTCGAGCACCGTCATTTTCCTACACCGGCATAGCGACCTGGGCAGAGAGGGCAGCTGGTTATGAGCCACGTAGAGTTTCTGCAACCTCGTCAGATCTCCAATTTCTTCAGGGAGGGCACGGAGTTTGTTCTCATCCAGGTCTATGATCTCCAGGTTGGGGAGAACACAGAGCTCCTGAGGGAAAACCTTGAACTGGTTTTGTTGCAGGTAGATCTCCCTCAGCTTGAGCTGGTTCACTATTTCCTTGGGCAGAGCTTCCAGGCAGTTTCGGGACAGGCCGAGCAGCTCCAGGTGGTGGAGGTGTTTGCAGACCACCACCGGGAGCTCCCTCAGGTCGAGGTGGTAGAGCCGCAGCTCTCGCAGGGCACGCAAGCCGCTGAGCACCTGCAGGGAAGAGGGGTTCAGGGGGTTGCAGCTCAAGTCCAGGCCCTCCAGGTTGCTCAGGGCCCCCAGCTCAGGGCACAGCTCTCTCAGGTTGTTCCTATCCAGGTAGAGGATTCTGATGTGCCTCAAATGCTGAATGTCCTGGGAAATTTCTTCAAGGCGGTTATTTTCTAAATGCACTTCTTCTAAGTCTTCTAATGCCAAAATCTCTGGCGGAATGGCTGTCAAATTCCGATTAGAAGTGTCAATAAAAAATGTTCTACCTATGACCTGTGGCTGATCACTTTGTTGATGAACTTTAGGCAAGTATTCCACTTTTTGTATGTCCTCTGACATTATTTTGAAGGGAAGTTCAAATATTCAAAATCTGAAAAACTCCAAAAATAAAGAAAAGAATCAGGGCCAGCACCTCCCCTCTGGTAAGCGGAGGCAGGGTGGCAGACTGCAGCCCTGCCAGGGGGGGAACTAGCAGTGTCTCCTGAGATCCGCGCCATGTTGGAACTGAGGATGCAGTGAAAACAAATGACCATTCTGCCTCCCTGCTTAGCAATAGTGAACCTACTGCTACATGGCCTAGAGTCAATTATCCCACTTCCCATATCCTCCTTGTCCTCCTCCTCCCCGCCCATTAGCAAGTGGGAACCAGAAATCTGAGCACCTCCTGGGAAGTTGACCATAGCAAATAAGGGGGATTTCCTTCTACCATTTCTTTGAAGGCAAATATTTTTATTACTGTTTTGCTCTTTTCTGATTAATGGTACTGCTCTATTCAATATTCTGTTTTGATAAGTTCTATAGTGTTCTCTATTTCATCTCATTTTGATATACGGGATTGAAAGAACAACTATTATAAAGATAACAAAATATACTGTGATACCTATTACTGTTATCCCGGTAACCTGCTGTGAAGTTCTGTACCAATTTCACTGTACGATCTTCCTTGGCTTTATTCTGACTTGTTCTGTTGTATACTTTCTGAAAGGGTTTTGGCCCAGACAGGACACTGTAGCCAGGAAAGCCTCAACCAGAAGCAGGAAGCTCCTATCTCCCCTGCCCCTAGGAAGTTACCTGTGATGCCATCTTCCCGCCCTTAGGAAATTTACATATGGCGCCAAACCTAGGACCAATGGGCTACCTGTGCATCCCTAATGCCCGCCTTAGGTTCCACCCCAAACCGAGGCTATTTACATGCCCCCACGCCACGTGTCCGCAGGAGAGATCGCTGGACGCCAGTGGTGGGGGTGCTGGTCATCTCTCTCCGTGTTCTCAGAATAAAGGCCGCTTTTTATTTTATACGTCTCATCTTTTGGAAATATTTTTCATCTTTTGGAAATAATCCTAGCACTTTCAAAATAAAAATTAAAAAAAAAAAGAATCAGGATCTCCCTCATACCAGATTTATTACTAAGGAAGAAACAAAAATAAAATCTAGTTGACTAAATTTAGTACTTGAAATTATTTTGCCAGATATTTAGTTTTTGTTTCATGTTAGGATAAGGATTAAAGTTTGGGCTCCTTTTTCTCCTAATATATTACCCACCTATTCACCCCCACACAGAGTCTGATTTGTTTTTTAAAATTCTTATTTTGATTTTGTCTCCAGGTATGCAGTAGAAGCTTGCAAAAGATCATCATCACTCTTAATATAACCTGAAAAACACTAGGAAATACAATCATATTGTTACAGGCAGCTGAGCTAGTTAGAAATATTCTAGGCAGTTAGACAAGGCTAGGCCCTCTAAGAAGCCGGCACAGAGGACCAGATGTCTGGTGACCTTGGAGGGGACACACACCTCTTGCCGTGGGCCAGATCTCAGGACAGAAGGCAAAACCAAATGCAGCCACACCCTTAAGTATAAACCGTAGGGGTTAAATCTGGATCACCTTGAGAAGCCAGGAGTCACCATCCCAACCCCTCCAGGGAGAGTCACTGATCTGTTAGAATGCCCACTTGCTGTGACTTGCTTCCCCATTTGTCCCTGATTTGGTCAATTTTACCTGAACAGTTAAACTTATTGGTCAACCTAATGCCTGTCTACCTCGAGAGCTCCCAGTTTCCCTCACTTTAGACCCACTTTACTTCATGGTTTTACTCTATAAAAATCCAGAGAAAATACAGACTCTTTGGCAACCCACTCGGGACCTCTTTTGTCTCACTCAGACAGAAACTTTCTCAATACATATTTCTGCTCTTAATCTCGGTTGTTCCCCAAATTCATTCTTTGATTTTAGAGAACGTGAACTTGTTCCGAACATATAGTAGGTCGGGAGTTTCATTCCCCTATATCAACATTTTGAAGCGTACATATTTTTCTGTTAAAATCAGTATAGTAAGACCAGGAATGTAGCTCAGCGGTATAAGCACCTGCTTGGCAAACACAAGGTCATGAGTTCGATTTGCATTACAAAAATAAATCAATAACAATAACAACAAAAATCCACCAGACAGTTATAAAGAAGGCTAAAGGCCACAATTCTAGAGCTGGACCAGCCTTTTCTACAGAAAGAGAGGCCAGTGAGTGGGCCCTGCTGTGCTCAGGGGCAGGTTCAAGTCTGGGGCTGACAGGCCAAGAAGCCAAACCTCCCCTGGGCATCAGCAAAGGAATACCTGGGACTAAGAGAACCAGCCAGGCGCTGGCACGGGTGCTTAGCCTGTGTAGCCTCAAACACAGAGTCAGTACTGCTCCCACCAGTGTGTGTGTGTCCCGTTCCCCCACCACACCCCCTGAAGACTGAGGGGCTGAGGGGCTTAGGGAGTTACAGACCGGACCAAAGAGCAGAGGGAGGCAGTGCAGGCTCAGGTTTACAGCCATAAGCCCGACTGGAGGACGAGTTGAAATCCCCCTTACGCAAGCATTTTGAAATGCAGTAGGGCGAGGTGTAGCTTAGGGGCCCTGCCCTTGCCTAGAGTGCTCTAAACCCTGGTCCCCAGCACTGTAAAATAAATAAGCTAATAAACTAAAATTGCCATGACTTGAACTGAAGCTGCAACCCAGAAAGAAGCCTAAAACCTAGATAACAAGATACAATTTGTGTCTGTGGGTAGGAATGTTCAATAATGTTAAGGGAGACTCCCCCAGAGTCTCCCTAACTTGCTTATAGTATTAATGTAATCTCAATCTCAGCAAATTTTCTTTTCTGACAGAAATTGATAAGCTTTTTATAAACACATGCAAAAGAATAATGGTGAATAAAAAACCAACAGACTTACACTATTAAACTTATACATCGTATGAAGTCAATATGTTAACATCATATTACAGAATTAAGCCTCTTATGTGTGTACATACTCCTGAAGTCTCTGGGGAAGGCAGAGAAGCCTGTGACAGTACGGTGACTGTGTGGACTGCAGCTTTTTTAGGATAGGGGCTGTCTTGCATCATACTTAGACCCAGAATGAAGGTGGGGTGCATCCTGAGACCCACATTTGTTGGTATCATTACTGCTTCCTGCTACAGAAGTATAGGTTTCATTGTGGGGGACTGGGGTTTGAACTCATAATCTCGCACTTGCCAAGCAAGTGCTTATGCCACTGAGCTAAACCCCCAGCACAGAAATATAGGTGCTTTTTTTTTTTAATCCATACAGGGGATTGAACTCACGATCATGTGCTTGCAAGGCAGGTGCTTATGCCGCTGAGCTAAATCCCCAGCCCAGAAATATAGGCTTTAGAACCTTATTACTTTTTGCCCCCATCAAAAAGAGTTCCAGGACAATGTTTCATTGTTATGTGAAGGAAGAAAATATTTAGCAATAAACAAATTATGTCCTTTAACATTTTTATTCTTTAGTTATCAAGCAGATTAATCTTACTGTTTAATCCTATATGATGAAAATTTCTAATTTCCTGAATGCAAATTTCTTAAATGCCAAAGGCTCCTAGACTATATATAGCAGTCCCTTGGTTCATGACTTTAATTCTTTACATAATTCTGATCCCAGAATTCGTTCCATGATTCTACTTGCAAGTAACTGAATTGCAAGTAACTATTGTTCACAATAATTTGCCAGGAAAAATAGTACATGTCTGTAATCCCAGCTACTCAGGGGACTGAAGCAGGAGGATCATAGGTTCAAAGCCAGCCCCAGTAAGTTAGTGAGACCCTACCTCAAAATGAAAAATAAAAGTGAAAAAGAATGGCTAAGTGTACCTTAGCAGGAAAGTATTTGCATAATGTATTTAAGGCCCTGGGTTCAGTCCAGGCACTACAGAATAAATAAATAAGATAGATTTTTAAAATTGGCTATTATTAAAATCATTCTCTTTGAGTGTCAAGTTTCAGGCCCAATTTTCTTGTGCAGCCGCCAAAAAAAAAAGTTCATCTGGGGAAATTCACATGAACTAGCCATGAAAATGAGGATTTACATTAGTGTTTGGGGCTTCTGGACATGTGAAAAGACTTCTCATTTAGATTCATCTTGCCACCTAGACTCTGATCATGTGTGTACATATATTATCTCACCCACATGTTTCTGGAGCCAAGTTGACAGCTGTCTCTCTCTCACATGCAAGCATGCATGCATGTACAGTTCCTAACATATGATGCTTTGGTTTAAATTTTTCAACTTATGAAAGCAAGACATTTTGGGTCTTTCCCTGGGCTTTTCTATTGTGTGCAATCTGACACTCACAATGCTAAGGCAGTACAGTAAGGCAGCTTCAAGTCGTAAGATCCTCTGGATAAACAACCAATATTCCAGTATACTATATTGTTAAACTCTGATGTTTCGTAGATTAGGTGTGTTAAATGCACTTTTGACGTAAGGATATTTTCAATTTATGATGGATTTATGTAACCCCAGGGACTGGGAATTTGGTTTAGCAGTGCAGCACCTGCCTGGCAAGGTCCAGAGTTCGCTGGCTGAGCCGCTGGCTCAGCCCTTTAGGCATCTGTTGGTTTAGCCCTTTTGGCCTGCGAGTGTCAGGTCAGAGGTTCAAAACCCACACCACACTCTGTCCTGTCCGTTTTTCAGGGCTGGGGATTTAGCTCAGTGGCAACAAGCACCTAGTTTGCAAGCACCCGGTCGTGAAGTAAGAATGAGGAAAACTGATTCTGAATGGGCTTTTTCCTAGGGATTGTTAACTGAATGATTATTAACTGAATGATAATTAACTAAATTAATTTATTACATCCAATATTACCATGAGGTAGTTTCTAAATGAAATGATTGTTGTGTCTTCATTTCAAGGAGCCAAGATTTGGATAACATAGTAATTAGCCTTTCTTTGAATAACTTTAATAATTGAGAAACAACTAGAAAACTGATCAGTTCTCCAAATGCACAGTGAATGCTGCTACTTTTGTTTTCAAGTTTGATTCTCAGGCCCAGCCAGGGCACTATGAGTGTAAAATCTTGCCTGCCCCACGGAAACATACCCTTTATTTGGGAAGCAAAGAAAACAAAACAAACTTTTGGGAAACTACAAATGATCAGAAAATGTACTCAGACTGTATTGAAAATAAGCTATACAACAGCAATTTTCCTGCTTCTGGAGACTGATAACACTGCTTTTCAGGATGAAGGGCAAAACCCTAGGACCTGACCTAAAATGACCTAGTAGTGACAAAAGTCTCCTCTGAGTGGGAGGAGCTTGAATAACCTGGTCTCACAGACCTAGAGTGGAAGTGAGGTTCAGTCAATGCTCTGAACCCAGAAACAGGGAGAGACTGGACACTCTCCCATTTCAGAGTGTCTAAAAGTCCTCCCCGTGGTCCGCAAGTGGGCAGGGGGAATTTCCCTGGGGTTCTTAAATTGCTTTGCTAATTCCAAACTGGCAGATAGATTTCAGCCATGCTTTTTTTCTCTTCACAGGTCGTAGGCTTTCTTTTTTGCAAAACTGGCGCCCTAGTGTTGGTTCTTTTTTTTTTTTTTTTTTTTTTTTTTTTTGTCTTTTTATCGGTACCAGGGATTGAACTCATGACTGCCTGCTTGCAAGACAGGCGCTTATGCCTCTGAGCTAAATCCCCAGCCCCTAGTGTTGGTTCTTATTTTCACCAGACAGTAAGCCCTTGCTTATTATCAGTATTTTCTTGAAAAATGGTTTCTTTACATTAAGTAAACAGCATACATTGCTCTGGTTAGAAATAATCACTTGAAGGCCAGGGGTGGTGGTGGGACTTGTAGTCCCAGCACTCAGAAGGCTTAATCAAGAGAATTGAGTGAGTTTGAGGGCAGTGTGGGCTACATAGTGAATTCAAGCCAACTTGAACTGCATAAAAAGACCGTGTCTCAAAAAAAATCAAAATCAAAGAATCATTTGAAAAATATTTCTAGAGTTTCTAAACAAAACAACAAAGACATTGTCTATTAGTTTTTTTACATAAAATAAATGTACTAAACCTTCCTAGAATAAGGTGCCAGCAAAATGCAATGCTTTTATTGGAATGTGGGGACTATATAACCGATATAGTGCTTTTATTGTGTTTTTGAGAAAGTTCAGATTCAAGTTAGGCCTCCAACCACTCCAGGATCTTCCATGTAAGCCCTCAAACCACTTACCAGGGTTCAGGGAAATGAGCTCAGTGATGCCTCCCTCTTCCCATGATTCCTAAGGAAGGGAACTTTTCCAACTACATCCTCCTCTACTGGAAATCACTGGGAGAGAGGAGAAAGCACATGTGATCAGTGTCCTTTTAACCATCCTGTTTGATGTGCATTTTGAAAAGGCGGTAGTTGTGTGTGGATATTCTTACTGTTGTTGTTCTGTTGTTCTCTGAGGCAGACAGGGAGAAGCATGCTGTAGGTGCTGTGTGGTTGAGGTAGCCCCTTCTCTGTCTCGTCTAGTTAATTAGTCGCTCTACATTCTGTGCTTTTTGTTCCCTTGTAGGAGCATGACTCATTTCCCCTGCAGCAGCACCTGCAACCTCTCTCCCTCTTGTCCTAGGCAAGCCACCTTTGTTTTTGGCAGTAGGGTCTGAACCCCAGGAAGGCTCTGACCCAAAGCCTTGGACCCTCTCGATGAGTGGTCTACCACTGTGCTACCTGCCCAAGTCCTCTTCCCTTTCTCTGTCTTGTTCAATGCTTTGAGGGAGAGGGAAAGTAGAGGGGAATGGAACTGGTCTCTTCGTTGCTCTAAAACCCCAAACCGCACTCAGCTTGGCTGGGAGCACATGGCTACGTGATCACACTGTGGTTTCCCATTCTCATCACCTTTCCCCTGGAGAAAGGACTTTTACAGATGCTTAAACTGTGCAGGTGGCACCAGGTTTCTGCCTTGCAGCACCTCCAGGCCAGAGCAGCAGGCGGACCGGCCTGGTGGGCAGCGAGGGAAGGAAGGCTATGGGGGAGCGGTGGTGCTTTTCACCCGCTCACTGTGCTTGTGGACACACTGGTTTCGTCTTGCGGGTCTTCCTGTTTGCCCGAAGCTTCTCACCAAGGAGTCTAGGAGTGGCTCCCAGGCCCTCGCGCTCCTCCGCCATCCTCTCCTCTTTGGTGTATAGCAGTCCCCAGACGCAATGTTACTTTGCTTCTTGTTTGCTTTCAGCACCCCAATACCACACTCCAACCACGCTCCTCTGTAATATTGCTAGGTTCTGTCCCCTCCGCCACCCCACCCCCAGTCCCGGTCCCGCAGTAACTGCTCCCTGGGGAGCACTTGTCAGATACCTCCTCCATAGCTCAGGATCCGCCCCTCCAGCGGCCCGGGGGCCGGGGATCTGCCCCCTCCCCCACACCCGGGCAGTCTGTACCGATCCGAACACACCGAAGTACCTGCCCCTCCGCAGCGTGCACCACCTCCGCCGGCTGGCATCTCAGCCTTGCAGGGCGGCGGCCTCCTCCAGGAAGCCCCCTGACGGCCCCACCCACAAAACCCATTATGCTTAAACCGCGCTGGCGCTACCAGCAGCCTCTGCACTGGTCCCCTCAGGACTGTGCACACTTTGAGGGCGAGGGCTGTGTCATAATCCTCTTTGAAGCCTTGACCTCAGGAACCCAAGCATGCCTGAGGCCCAGGGCGAGGTGACCGAGAGCCCTTCACAGAAGCCTCCAGGGTCAGACTGGCAGGCCCTTGCAGCCGCCTCCCCCGCCCTCAGTAAGGCGCGGTCGCCATGGCAACGCCGACGCCGCAGCAGCGCGGCGCCGAGAGCAGCGCAGCATGAGCCGCCGCGGCTCGCGGGAGCAGGCGGCCGAGCAGGAGGCCGAGCAGGCTGCGGCCCCCACGCCGGCGCCGGCCCAGGCGGGTAAGCGTGGCCCGAAGCAGGAGGCCTTTGGGTGTCGCCGGCCGGAAAGCACGCGCGGCCGCCAGCGAGGTCCCACCGGCTGGTTGCTGAAGCCGCAGGCCCCTGGGAAGCCCGGCGGTGGACCGAACTTGGGCGCTGGGTCTCGGGAAGGCGTTTCCTCCTCCTTTAGTGGAGCCCCAAGGAGACGCCACCAAATACAGCCACCTCCTTCAGTTTGGACGCTTATTTGTGTGGTGGATTTGTAACCCTTCGGAGGAGCCTGGCTTAATCCTGGCTGCCCTGGGGGAGTACTGTTACCGCTACCTTTACCTTTACAGAGAAGGAAATGTGGGCTCTGGGGTCCGCGTGCTCGGGGTTACACCCTGGACTCTGAGGAGGGCGTCCAGGGGCTGCTGTCCCCCTTGGACTTCTCCCTGGTTGGCTGTTCCAGATAGAAGAGTATCTTTGGGAGGGAACTGCCTCCAACATAAGTAGGCCTTTTCGCCAGAAAAGTTTAAATGTGCTGCTAGAGGTAGATGAAAAGTGAAATCCTTGTTAGAGTCTTGACATTTTCCTGTGTAATGAAGTTATTCCCTAGTTTTTGCTTTACAATTTGAAGACTGGTTTGAAATACAATGTAGGGAACCGTGGCACCATAAAACCCTGGCCTGTAATACAAAGGTGAATTTTAAATGGAAAGAACAGCAAGAAAATGTATCAGAAGCTTTTAAATACTTTGATCTGTGGGTAATTGATGAAATGAAAATATTCTTTTGAGTGGGGTTACCAAGGGTCGAACTCACAACGTGTGCCTGCCAGGCAGGCATTTATGCCTCTGAGCTAAGTCCACAGCCTGAAATAAGAATATTCTTGTGGCCAGGTTTGGTGGCACATGCCTGTAATCCCAGCACTTGGGAGGCTGAGGCAGGTGGATTGCCGTGAGTTTGAGGCCAACCTGGATTATATTCCAAGACCCTGTCTCAAAAAAAAGGAGAAAAAGAAGGAGGAGATGAAGAAGATTCTTGTAACTTTCTTTAACTATATTGGCTTATAATTTAAGATTCCTTACTGCCTTCATAAAAACTGGTCATAAATCTGCACCCAGGCATGGTGTGGCCAGCACTAAACCCCAGAGATTCTCAGGGCAACCTTTACCCTTCTAACATCAAGAAGGCTGGTGGGAGCCCACTTATGATTTTTGTTTAGAATCTATTGTGTTTGTGCAACAGCAAACAGAAACACTGAAATGTCACCAAGGTTTTGGAGGCAGATTTATTTTATGTCGGTTGGCCCTGACAGGAAATCATTCTTCCTCAAAATGTCAGGCCCTGGTCTCTGGTAGTTTGGGGCTTATATGGGATAAGCAAGCAGGAAGTACAGCGGCAGAATGGCTGTGGGTCGGGGATTGGTTCATACAGTGTGCATCACAGGGACCAGCTGTTTGTGGGAAACGGGAACAGGAACTGAAGGAAACTGGAGGTTACCTGGGCAACAAGGGGGCATTTGATCCCCTAAGGCAGGGAAGCAGAGCATTCTTATCCTCTCTTCCCTCTAAGCTTAAGATAAATGAGAGTCTTTGTATACCCAAGTATTTCAAATGTCCGGGAAGAGCTGCAGCAAGGGCTCTATTCAACTTTACCTCATTCAGCACTGCTTATACTTATTTGACAATAAAATCCATTCTATTTGAACATCTTTGATTATTGTATAGAACATCGGTATCCCACAACACAATTTGGGGAAAATTGTGTTACCATATTAAATACATGAAATTTCCTAAAATAGAGGAAAGGTTTAATTTTTACATCTTTCTACTTGGCAGATACCATGCTGAAATTACATTTTTTCAGAGCCCCCAGGAGGCTGAGGCAGGAGGAGAGCTGTGAGTTTGCGGCTACCCGGGGCTGCATAGTGAGTTCAAGGCCAGTCTGCATTATGTAGGGAAACCCTGTGTCCAAAAGAAATTTTTTTACAGGAAATATCTAATAGCTTGGTAAAACTGCTTATAATGTTAACTGAAGAAAAGCAAGCTATAAAACTAGACCCGAAGTTTGCACTTTTTGATAGAAATGTTTTAACTGGAATAGCTGTTATTTTTAAGAGACTATTCAAAATACTTAATTTTTTAAAATTTTAAATATAATGTAACCCTTCTTAAAATTTGTTCTACAGATCTGGTTTTAGCAAACTTAGTTCCTGTACTGCTGGAATATCCTCAGCAAAAATTTGAGATATAGAGACTTAGAGAAACCAGCTTCTTAAAAACCTAGACTAATTGCATTCAGATCTCAAGCCCAGATTTGTAAAAAGACATACACAAAAGGAGAAATCAGAGAGACACTTGTGCTGCTTAGAAAAAATAACAGCATAACTTTTACCTCAGAAGACCTGGCCCTTGCAAACGTTTTTGAACTCATTTTGAAAAGAGTAGGACCATTTGGGAAAGCTGTGTTATATACCAGAAAGGAAATCGGAACTGCTGTTTTGCCTATTGTATCAGTCAGGACTTACAAGATGTGGGGAACCACTCAGATTGCTTCAAAGCTCAGGGGCTTCTCGGGACACCTGAGGATGTGACCCTGCTTGTCTAGTGCAGGCACACAGAGAGATACAGTTTTGTAACCATGACTTAGCACAGGTAAACACACATGCACTCGTTATGGTGCTATGCGAGAATGTAAACGTGAGATAACAACCTGTGTAAGAATTATACATTAAGAACGTAGGCAGCTCTTGCTCTCTTGTGCTCTGCTCTCTCTGCTCCATGCTGCCTGCTGTTGTTGCTGATCTCTTGCACATATGCATTCCTTTAACCTTGGGACCACACTCTTGAAACTCTCCCTTGGGCCTGGAGGCCCAATCCGTTTAATGCAGACACTGAGTTTATAAGATTAGTCAACAGTGGCCACGCACACATGTAGAAGAGTGCAAAAGATCTGTCCAAGCTAGAGCTCAGAAGGATTCAGCTGAGGCCCTGCAACACTTGGCAATGTCCTGTGGGAATCCACATCAAGAGGCCGAAGTATCTGCAACTGAAGTCTGCACCGGACGTTGAAGGATTGGTGCTAGAAGATGAAAAGTCGGAACTGAGAGCCTGAAGAGAATGCCCAAGGTGAAGGTGAAGACCAGAGCTCCTCTGAGGAAAGTCAGCTGAAATCCTTCCTGCTCCTTCCGCTTTTTGTACCTTTTCCACACCAACCCACTTTAAGTGGGTCTTCCATGCCCAGAAAACCATGCTGACTCAGTTCAGCTGGGTGTTCCCCACTGAAGTTGATAATTAGTCAATCACCACATCTATCATCAATAGCAAATGTGCAGGGGGAAATCACCTTTAGATATAGGAAACAGGAATCTAGGCTAAGTAGATAGCTTATCAGAGCCAGACTTCAGTTTGGAGTGAACTGACGGCTACTATAGTCAATGATGCTAACCTGGGATGGTATAGAGGGCATCCTATAAAACTTTGGGAATGATTTTTCAGATCTTCTTGGAGTTGGATTGTTGGATAAAACTGTCTTTTATCTGTAGCTGGTTTATGAAACCAAGTCGCCATAACCAGTGTCTGTGACAATGGCAGGTCTTCAGAGTCAGTTTGATTTTGCACATTGCCCTTATTAACTGTGTGACTTTGCACAAAATATTTCATTTCTCTGAACATTATTTTCCTCAGCTACCAGGCCTGGCACATAACAAAGCTTAGCTCTCGTTAGGTCATTCCAAGTTAGGGTGCTGATTTGAGCCCGTGTCTGCCCCCACCCGGCTTCCGTGGGTGTGTCTGTGGTCCTCCGTCTCCAAATAACACTTTTAGTATCTCTCCCATTCCTTGTATTTGTTCTTCTAGCCTTAGTTCTCCTTTTCTCTTCCCCACCCCCTATATCTTTGAAAGAGATAGTTGCTGTCGAAAGACAGTTTCTGAAATAGTTTACATGTGATAATAGATGTGTTTATTTCTCAGAAGCTCCAGAGTGTATTACTACTCTCCAGGAAGGTTATTGTAACCTGTGTTCAGAAAAATCTCAGGAAGTGAATTCTTTTATATTGCACATACTCCAAAAAGTGGATGAAGAAATTCAAAAGGGGTAAGGAAGACAAATATTTTATTACATGAATACTGTTGCTTCTTATCTGTGTTTAAAAAAAAAAAAACCCTTTACCACTCAGTGATTTTACAGCCATTTGACACTGCTCGGTGAGGTGGACCTGTCTTGTAACTCAAGTAAGTAAGTAGGGGAGACCCTGTTAGTGGGTCTGAGAGGTGGCGCAGGATTCTGAGAAGAGCGCCAGAAGTCCAAAAGCCTGGGCTCCAACATGCCTTTACCTCCTATGAGCTCTATGAGCTAGGTGAGTTAAACAAACAATGAAAGTTTTCATTGCTTGTATCTATAAAGTAGGGGAAAATTAAGTTGTATAGAATATATTAAGGTGCCTTGCAAAGCCTGTAGAATGGCCAGTAGTTTTATATTCCCTGGTACAAATGCACTATGTACTTGTACATCTACTACATACTTGGTTCCAGAAAATGTTACTTGTGATGTTACTGTTCATATGTGAAGAAAAAAATACTTTTCGGGGGTCAGTTTCTTTCTTTGTATTTCAAGATCCTTTTCTTTGTAAAAATTTAACAGAGCCAAAGAAGGTATCACATTGAACATTGGTGGTAACAACCGCTTAATTCCAGTACAAAGAGTGACAGGTGAAGATTTTTGTATTCTTTCTCAAATTCTACAGAATCATCCATCTATCAATGGTATGTTTAAGAATCAATGCCTCTGGCTTTTTGTTTTTAAGATTTTGAACATTCTTTAGGAGGAATATCCTTATCTAGTCATGCGTGCCCTTTTCTATTCATCTAGGTTTGGATGTTAGATACAACCTCCTAAGTGATGTTGGTGCATACTATGCTGCAGAACTCCTTCAGGTATTACCTTACTAGGAAATATTCTTACATGTTAGACTAAGTGACCCATTTGCTCTGGTGATGCACACACAACAAACACTAATCATGCAAAATGTCAGGGGTCCTGACTGTGATGTATTTATGCTCCCTGAAATACATGGGAATCCACTTGTACTGTACCAGCAGAGCTGGTACCGAGAGCTCCACTCATTTTGAACAAACTTGTGCATTATGACTAAATGCATAAAGCATGTCCATGAATTATTGGTAAAATTGAATGTCATCTTTTTATTTCCCTTATATTGCAATTAGATTTTTTAAATAAGAAAAGTGATTTTCTTTTTCTTTAATAGTAGAAAATGAAGCATGTGAACAATGACCAGTTTCTAATATGTGTGTAATAGCTTCTTTTCTCTCCTTACAGACACAACCATATCTCATTTACTTGAACCTGATGTTTAATGATATTGGGCCCGAAGGTGGAGAATTGCTTGCTAAAGCACTACATGTAAGCATTATACATCCCAAACTAGCATTTTATTTGAGAATATTGACTTCTGATAGTTTGGAACCAATAGAATCAAATGTTAATATGAACTTATTTCAATGTTGTAGGAATGCATATTTTTATTACTCTTTAGTTCATTAACATGTGGATATTATGTGATCACTTTTGAAATCACTTTGTTAAAGATAGCTTTATTGACATATAATTATTTATATACATAAAATATACTTTCTGAAAGTCTTCTGAAATTTAGTGGGAATTTTAAAACTATATTTAAAGTTGTACAACCTTTACCATTGTGACTTCTTTAGGACATTTTCATCACCCCCAAAGAAGCCCCACATCCACAATTAGCAGCCCCTTTCCACTGTTCTGTCCTTCCAGCCCTCAGTCTCTGGTAACCACTAATGTATTTTCAATATATAGATTTGCCTATGCTGGACATTTCACATAAAGGGGATGATACAGTATGTGACTATTTGTGACTGATTTAATATTTTTAAGGTTCATTCAGATTGTAGCATACTTTATGCTTTTTTTGCTGAATAATATTCCATGTGTGAGCCTGGCATGGTGGTACCTCTGTAATCCCAATACTTAGGAGGCTAAGGCAGGAGGAATACTGTGAGTTCCAGTCCAGCGTGGGCTACATAGCAAGATCTTGTCTCAAAAAAAATTGAGACAATGTTTTGAGGAACAGCAAAATTGTTTTTCCAAACTGGCTACACCTTTTAATAATTTTTGCAGCAGGACATAATGTTCTAGTTTCTCATTGTTCTCATCAGCTCTTGTCATTGCTCAACCATCTTGGTGTATATAAAAGTCTTTTGCTTTAGATTTCCTTAAATGATGCTGAACATTTTCCAGTGGGCTTGGGGTCCACTTGTATATCTCCTTTGTAGAAAAGTCTATTCACATCCTTGGCCCTTTAGACTGGGTTTTGTTTATTTTGAGATCCTACCATTAGCATGTTGCTCAGGTTTGTCTTAAGCTTCTGGATTCAAGCAATCCTCCCATCGCAACCTAGTAAGAAGCAGGGACTGCCGTGCTGAGCTCTGCACTTGCTGGGTTGTCTTTTGAGTTGTAAGAACTAATTATTCTAGGTATAAATCTTTATCAAATACGTAATTTGTAAATATTTTCTTTCACTTGGTAAGTAGCTTTTCCACTTACTTGATATCCTTTGAAGCATTAAAGTCTTTAAAATAAAGCTTAATTTATTTTGTTGCTTATGCTTTTGGTGATGTATCTAAGAAAGCTTCACCTGATCAAAATCACAAAGATTTACATTTATGCCTTCTAAGTGTTTTATAGCTTTAGTGCTTGTATTTAGTTCTTTGAACTATTTTGAATTTGTATGTGAATTTGTGGTTGTTCCAATCGCAATTGTTAAACACCTGTTTTTTGCCTCATTAATTGTCTTGACACCTTTGTCAGAAAATCAGGTAAGGCTGGGTATAGTGGCGCATGCCTGTAATCCCAGGCTGACACAAGACGATCGATCGCAGTAAATTCAAGGCCAGCCTGGCTACATAGGTGAGGTCAAGTTCAGCCTGAACTGCATAGCGAGACCATCTCAAAACAAAAACAAAAATTGCTGAACATAAATGGGAGGGATTCTTTGTAGTACTCTCAGTTCTATGTTATTAATCTACCATCTATCCTTATGCCAGTGCCTCATTTTTTTAATGGTTTGATACTCAGCACTGGAAAAACAAAAAACAAAATAAAGTGATACAGGCATGCATGCCAGTGGGTACACAGTTTCCATTCAGGTGGATAAACAGTGTTTTGGAACTAGGTACAAGTCACATTGTACAACGTTGTGAATCTAATAAATGCCATGGAATTGTATGCTTTAAAATGATGAATTTTATATGAATTTCACTTCAATAAAAATGGCATAGCCTCCTTAAAAAATAAATTTACAATTTTTCCAAAGAAAAGAAAATTTATTCAAATCTGCTTTATTTGCTGGCTATTGCTTTGGCACCTATTTCTTGTCCATTCTTTCTTTCTAAGCTATTCAAGCTGATTTTTACCTAACCTGGGAACTTGAATGTTACCTTTACAGGATATATCCTAATTTATCTCCATGAAAAATATGATTCTACAAATAACTAATTTTCCCGAACTCATTTAAATTAGAGAATTCTGTGGATTGAAACTTAAGTTTTTATTCTTTTCCTTTTCAGGAGAATGCAACTCTGAAATACCTAAGAATGACTGGAAATAAGATTGAAAATAAAGGTGGGATGGTTTTTGCTGCAATGTTGCAAATTAATTCATCTTTAGAGAAATTAGATGTGGGTGATTGTGATCTGGTAAGTAAATTGGTAAGGAAATCAGCATAGAGAAACTTTCTAAGACACCAGGCAAGCGACAGCCTTACAAATAGCTCATCTTCCCTCTGTTGTCATAGTAAACTATTAATGACATCAGCTTAAATACATAGAAAAAAGATCCAGTCTAAATAAAAATATTCCTAACCTTCTGTCCATAATTTATCTTAACCTGTATGGGATTTAATTGTGATTAAGCAAATAGTGTTTTATTTAGTGTAATATAAATATCCTTACTTTGAAATATTCTGTAGTATTTATATTGTACCATAAAAATTGTTAACTGATTATACCAAAAGTTACTCTGAGCCTTCCTCTGGCCAGATGAGAAATGTCTTTGAAGTCTAGGTTTTGCTTTTTCAAATGTGCTTTCCAGTCTTGAGTCCCTAGAAACTAAACACTTAATGTATTGGTATGAACAGCAGAGAATGCTTGCGTAGGGTAAGTGTTGTATCAAGTATATGTATCTCAGCAGCTAGGATCTCCATGTGGCTCTGAATCTTGAGGTCTGCATCATATAGAACCTTAAAGGCTTAGGAGCAAGCCTAGAGGTAGATACCCAGGAAATGGATGCTGAAGGTCAAGGGAAAAAAAAATCCACATGCATGTCATAAATACATTTTAGAGCAAGGAGTACAATATCAGTTTATTTCTGAATTAGATCAATCTATACTTCAAAGAGCATGAAATGCTTACACTTTTAAAAAACATAATTTTATCAGAATTCAGATAATAGGTCTTGAAATACTTATTGATTTATAGTCTGTCATTGATTTTGCCTGTTTTTAGGGGATGCAGAGTGTGATAGCATTTGCTACAGTACTAACTCAAAACCGAGCAATTAGGGGAATAACCCTAAACCGACCTATCCTGTATGGTGAACAGGTATGTGTTCAGAATGACAGAAGTTAATGTTAACAGTATATGAATGAAACTAAAGTCTTACCAAAATTTGATTCATGAAGACATTATATTTTTAGTATTATCTTTATTAGATCTTACAAACTACTTACAAATAAAAATTTTTGTCCTTTTTTTTTTCATTTTTATTGGTACCAGGGATCAAACTCATGACTGCCTGCTTGCAAGGCAGGCGCTTATGCCACTGAGCCAAATACCCTAACCCCACAATAAAAATTTTTAAAGCAAAATTAAGCTGGGCGTGAGAAGCAGAAAAATACAAACATGGTTCCTGCTCTCAAGGCTTCTTGTTTCCTAACATCCTTCTAGGTAGTTTTCTTCTACCAGGTGTAAAAATCTAGGGACTAAGGACTCATTCTGTCACTCATCTAAAGCATGCATGTCTGACTTTTGGCTTGTCCGGACCATGCTGAGTGAAGAGAAATTGTCTTGAGTCACATATTAAAAATATAGGGGTGGGGATTTAGCTCAGCGGCATAAGCGCCTGCCTTGCAAGCAGGCAGTCCTGAGTTCCATCCCTGGTACCGATAAAAAAAGAAAAAGACAAAAATATATATATATATATATATATGTATAGTTAATTTATGTAACAAAACCTCTTTTATTTTTTTGTCTTTTTTTTCCTTTTTATTGGTACCGGGGATCGAACCCACGACTGCCTGCTTTCAAGGCAGGCGCTTATGCCGCTGAGCTAAATCCCCAGCCCCTTCCTCTTTTATTTTTAAAGTATATAAAAACAAAATAGCAAACCCAAATTTTAATAATTAAATAACAAAATTTACATGTTTACTTGCTAACAATAAAGGCCTGTCTTCAGGGGCACACACACACACATAAGTCGAAATCTACTATGGGTAACTGTTGCATTTTACTCCCTAAGTTGCACAAGTGAAGTGCCTGTAATGTCTGATACACAGGAGTTTTGATTCATGTCTGTAATCTTAGCACTTAGGAAGCTGAGGCATGAGGAGCTGCCGTGAGTTCGAGGCCAGCTTGAGCAACATAACAAGTTCAAGGCCAGCTTGAACTACATAGCAGAACCCTATCACAAAACAACAACAACAATTCAACTGTGTCTGACAAGTTCAGAAAGTAGAGTTAGTACTGCATGGTGCCCTCGGCTCCACAGCATTCCATTGCTGTGTACAATCTGCACTGAGCACCACCCAACCGAATCATGAAAAAAATCGCTAAAAATAAAATCACAGAGTTGCTATCCAGGGTAGCATACAGTCTGTGTGTTGGAGGTGCTTGGTCTAAAAAAAGAGATACATGTACTAGAAGAAAATGTAAATGTCCAAAGTTTGTACTTTCTAGTCCCCCAAAATGAACTTTAAGCCAAACGTAGTGACACATACCTGGAATTACAACTACTTGAGGGGCTGATGCAGGAGTATCATAGTTTCAAGACCAGCTTGGTAACTTAGATCAAAACTTTGTCTTAAAACAAAACAACAAAAACAGTAAAAATTTAGAACTTTAAAGTTCAATGTTCAAATGAACTTTCAACTTTTTAAATTGTGTTTTTTGAGGGTTTTTTTTTATTAGTACATGTTTGCAATTCATGCAGTTTACAATCATTTTTGGGAGTGGTTACATACTATAGGTTTTTCTTAATCTCCTTCCCCTTCCCAGCCTTCTCCTCTGGTTCCCATAGACGTTTACATACTTGTTGATATTATTTGTCCTTAGCATATGTTATGACGTATAATGTTTTCATTGATTGAAGTTACCAGTTTCTTGTACATGGCACATCTTTATTCCTCTCATTTCCCCTTCCCATCCTCTTTACCACTCATCCTTGTCCCCTGGACTACTTCTCTACTGGACGAGATCTTCCTCCTTGACCCTCTTGTCCCTCTAAACTTTTTTAAAGTTCAAGGCAACTTTACAAAAGCTCAAAGTGCTTTAATTTAAAATGAACTATCTCATTATTTTTCTTTGGTATAAGAATTAAGAATTAGCCACATTTTAAGTATAATTTTTTATATTCAGAAGTATAGTTTGAATTCTTTTCCTATGTAGATCTCTTACTTTAAATTATTTCTGCATTTTTCTGCACAAAAAAATTGGGGGGTTTTATATCATATTTTATGTATGTAAATCTAACCCGTCCAATCAGGTGCCAAGAGTCATCAAATAGTAGAAATATACTTGAAAAATATCTAAAACATCATAAAAATACTTTGGTCAGTGGATTGCTTCATTCATGATTATTCTCTCCATATCTGAATGCTACCCTAGACAAAATGCTACATGCTAGATACACAAAATCAAACAAAGGACATGACCATGATGTATTAGTCACCCTTCCACTGATGGGATAAAATACCTGACAAACACAACTTAAAACATGAAAAGTTTACTTTTGCTCATGCTTTCATAAATTTCAATCTGTGATTAGCCAACTCCATGGCACAAACGTCATTGTAGAAGGGTATGGCAGAAGAAGCTGCTTACCTCATGAGACCCAGGAAGCCAATGGTAAAGGAGAACCAGAGAACAGATACACCTTTCAAAGGCATGCCCCAATGACTTCCTTTGTCTTTCTTTTTGTATTTTTGAGACAAGGTCTCACTACACAGTTCAGGCTGGCCTTGAGCTCCCTTTGTAGCCCAGGCTGGTCTCGAACTTGCAACAATCCTCCTTCTGAGTGCTAGGATTACAGGCATGCGCCACCATGCCTGGCGCCAGTGACTTTCTTCTTCCAACCACTAATAACCCAGTCAGCTATGACTCATCAATGGGTTAACCCACTGATAGGGTTAGCTCCTTCAAACTTCAGTCAGCTTTCGAGGCATTCTTTGATCTAATCAAGTGGACATTAACCATCATATCCAGGCTTCAATGGGTTTTCAGTCTAGGTGGTAGGAGCTGAACCAGTCCAGAAGGAGATATGCTTATGATGCCTGGGAACACAAGGAAGGGCTTTGAGATCAAAGCAGGGAGAGGGGAGGCAGCAATGAAACAGCTCTGATTGAGGACATGATGGATTTGGAAACTAAATAAAACACTTCTAGGTTATGTCCCTGAGGAGGTACATTGCCATGTATGAAGTCACATTAGAAGTACAACCCTTTTAAGCATGTTGAGTGGTGTCATTAACCTCTCATCCACCGGAGAAAAGTCATTAAAAGCCCAGGGCCCTGTGTAGGGCCTGGCACTTGCTTTCAGCCTGGGCCTTCTGGTGGCACTATTCCATTCTTGGAGTACAGTTCTCTCATGTGCCCCTATCCACTGCTGTTCCCACTCAGTAAGCCTGTAAAACTACTGCAGTTAAGATACTGAGCAGAGGGCTGGGGACTCAGCTCAATGGCTCAAGTGCTTACCTGGTAAGCTCAAGGTCGTGAGTTCGATCCCTGGTACCAAAAAAAAAAAAAAAAGGTACTGAGCAGAGGACAAAAGATGAAAATGGGCGCCTGGCCATAGGTCTGGGCGCCTGGCCATAGGTCTGCAGAGGAGGAGCTGGGCAGATCTGGGGTGCCCTCACCAGCCTCTCTGCGTGTCTGGAGGACTCTGGATATCTCCGCCCAGACTGCTGGAGTTCCCCCAGGCTTCCAGGTGCAGTGAAGGGGAGAGGTGGGTTTGAGGCTTCCACATCAGCCTCCCCATTCTGGCTTCACTTGGAGACCTGCTGAGCTCCTGATAGGTGGGCTGGCCCACACTACCAGCCTAGCCCAGCCTGTTTAGCTGCCGCGCCTGGCCATAGGTCTGCAGAGGAGGAGCTGGGCAGATCTGGGGTGCCCTCACCAGCCTCTCTGCGTGTCTGGAGGACTGTGGATATCTCTGCAACCAGGGAGGGTCCACAGGTTCCTGAAGCACTGCGGCCTGTGGTGAGTACCCTAACCCGGCTGCAATTGAAGAACTGTGGAGCTTCCAAGGGGCAGGTGGGCGCACAGTGTCCCTGAGGCCCAGCTTGTCTGGAACTGCGGAGTTCTGAGCAGGCAGAGGAGGGCCACTGGTTCTGTAGGCCCAATGGCTTGGGGTAGCGCGGTGCCAGAGTCTCAGTAGCTCCAAACATAGAAGGGGATTTTCAACAGATCCTGAGGAAGCTTTCAAATAACACTTGAAACACAGAAATATAGGAAAATGACAAAACGAAAGACCAAATTACAACCTCAAACCTCCAGCCCATCTCAAGAAACCCTAGGAGCGATGTATATAGAAGAAAATATATCCCATCCACCTCATATATCGGACACAATAGCCACTGAAATTGACAAGCAACTCCAGGAAGCTTTAAAGAAATTCAAACTCGAAATAATCTCCCAGATAAAAGAAGAAATGATAAAAGAAATGAAAGAGATTCTAAATATATCTAAAGAAAACACAGATAAAAAATTGGAGGAACTAAACAAAAAGATAGAATCCCTAGACGAGCAAAATAAGAAACAAACAGAATACATAATGGATGCACAGAGATATACAGGAAATAAAAAACTCCACTGAAAGTTGTAAAAACTGCCTTAATGAAAGTGAAGATAGAATTTCAGACCTTGAAGACAGGATTGCAGCTAGTGAACAGGAAAGGAAAGATCTTTTGAAAATAACAAGGAATCAGGAAACAACAATTCAACAACTGCAAGACGATGCAAAGAAGAATAACATAAGAATGATAGGGATTAATGAAAGAGAGGGAGACAACATGAAGGATGTCAGGAGGATATTTAGAGAAGTAATAGCTGAAAATTTCCCAAGCATGAGATCAGAAACTGACATCAGGATCAGTGAAGCATATAGAACTCCAAACAGTCATAACCAAAATAAAACTACACCCAGACATATAATAATCACCATCCCAGAAATCCAACACAAGAATAGATTATTAAAAGCTGTCAGAGAGAAAAGACAGATCCTTATAAAGGAAAACCTATCAGAATCACAGCAGACTTCTCAGCACAAACGATAAAGTCAAGAAGAGCATGGAGTGAAGTATTCCAGATCCTAAAGCAAAATGATTTCCA